GCTGAGATTGCACCACTGCACTCCAGCGTGGGTGACTGAGTGAGACTCTGTCGCAAAAAAAAAAAAAAAAAAAAAAAAGAAAAGAAAAAGAAAAAGAAAAAAAAGAAGTTGGCCGGGCACGGTGGTTTACGCCTATAATCCCAGGACTTTGGGAGGCCGAGGCTGGTGGATCACTTGAGGTCAGGAGTTCAAGACCAGCCTGGCCAATATGGTGAAACCCTGTCTCTACTAACAATACAGAATTAGCCAGGCATGGTGTCACATGCCTGTAATCCCAGCTACTCAGGAGGCTGAGGCAGGAGAATCGCTTGAGCCTGGGTGGTGGAGGTTGTAGTAAGCCGAGATTGCGCCACTGCCCTCCAGCCTTGGAGACAGAGTGAGAATCCATCTCAAAAAAAAAAAAAAAAAGTGAATTGCTAGCATATAAAAATCAGGAAGAGCAACTTTAAGTCTTTGAAAAGAAGATGTGGCAGTGCTGGCCTTCTATTTCTGCACAGTAACAGTCATCGGGTCTGGCCCCCACGTCCGCACACTCACAGAGGTCCTCGGTTCTGCACGTGCTTTACCTAGCAGTCTCTCTCTCTACCCCTTGAATCCTGCATACTGGGTCTCTGTCTAAGACTGTTTGACAAAAGGGACCCACTGCTAACATATAACATATTTGAAAACCACCAGTCTAGTCTGAACTTTCCTTATACTAAGAGGAAGCTGAAGCCCAGAGAGGTCACATGAATGACCTAAAGCCACACAGAAACTCAGGGGCAGAATCACAATCTAAGTGCCGGCGTCTTCTTCCCTTGCCACATACCTGCCTATCTGAGGTTGGGGTGAAGGGGTGGAGATGGCACGAGCAAAGGTGGTGTGGCGGGGCTCCTTGAGTCCTGCTGACAGCACTACAAACAGTCCTGACCATCCCATAGACACTACCCAGAACACAGGGGCACAAGATCAGACACAGGCAGTTAACCTGTAAATCGTCAAGTCCTAGCAAGGCCTGTGGAGGCTGGGTAATAGTTTGTCATCAGTGCTTGGTGACAGGGACAGGGACAGGGACAGCCCTGGAGAGTCCGATCTAGTGAGCATGCTCTACTTGAAGCTGTTTGAAAATCCTCAGCTAGCCAAGGAAAGGAGCCAGGAGAGGAAGGCACAGGAAAGAGGAAAAGAGACAGGAGAGCAAGAGCAAGACAGAAGACTCCCCAGGGGCTGCTTAGGCAGTGGCACCTGGGGCAACATCCCTGGTGCTCCAGTTGTGGTTTTCAAACTCGCTAGGGTGGCAGAACACCAGGGACTCAAAATCCAAAGAAGAAAGGTAATTTTTTCATTGCTTTCTTACAAGGGGCCCATTGGCGGGGGCACCCATTGGCAGGAGGGCCCTGTGCTGTGCGGCAAGTAAGCGAGGTGGCTGCAGTGGGGGCAAAACTGAGAGACTGCCCAGAGGAGGGAGGGAAGGGGGGGTCTGAGGCTGCAGGAGGGAAGAAGCGGAGCCAGTGAGCCCTGGCATTTTGTTGGAAGAAGCTTAATGTTTGCATGATGGAAAAGGGGCATGGAAGGATTTTTACATGATCTGGGATGGAAAGGGCTGTGTGATGCAACCCTCACCTTCAGCTCCTCTAGGGACTCTTCACTAAGATCAGCTTTGTTCCTAATGCTTGGAAGGATGGGGAGGTGCAGAGCTCTTTACCCAGGCGGGCATCAGGGAAACGCAGAGGCTGCACTTATAAGGGATCAGGGGGATGTCTGGGTTTCATGCTGGGCTACATCCAGGATGGTTCCCCCAAGCAGTGGGATCCAGATGCCTTGCAGATCCAAGCCCTGCCTTGCCCCCACCCAATCCCTAATGTGGCTGCCCAGTGTGGATCTGACCTTTTGGGTGATCAGGGCCCTGGAATGCCTTTCCAAAGTCAGAAGGACTCTGAGATTAGAGGCTCAGCTTGTGGGAAGGAGGCACTATTTCAGCTACCTCCGAGGGAAACTGGGGAGCCACAGCATCACCTATAACTACTAGAGTAGCTCCTATGTGGAAGTAGGCAGGAGGCTGATGTTCAAGTCAGCCCGGACAATTTCCTAAGGTGCCTGGGTCCTTCTAGAGTGGGAAGCTAAATTCATAGCTGATGCCTGGGCTGTTCAGGCCTCTCCCACCTCACCCGTAAAGATAGAGTCTCTGGAAATTATACTCTATCTTGGACTGGCCAGCAGGTTGGCACTGGAGCCTCAGATAGAAGCTACATGCTACCAGACACAGAGATACCATTAGGAGCCAGGACCTGAGAGGAGAAGAGGGCTATGAGCTGTCATGGGACTCTGGGGGTGGACCTTGGAGGCAGAGCAGTGATGGAGGTGAAGGGAAAGTTTGCAAGGTCTTCTTCACATGTGGATTCACACCTGACCTCGAGGTCCCAGAGCCCCTGCCTACTCACTCAACATTCCCGCTAACTTTCTCACCACACAGCGCCAGGAAGGAGAAAGCACGTTTGCACGGGTATAAGACTGTGTCGGTGTCACCATGCAAAGGCTTGGCAAACTCAGGCTCTGCTGGAGTGAGACACTTGGAAGCAGTTTACAGTGAAGCCTCCCTGGGGAAACTCAGCCTTCAAGACAGACCCTGAGAATCCCCACTGGGATTTGGAAGGAGAAAGAGAATGTGGCTGCTCTCAGCCAATAAGATGGGTCAGGAGAGTCTAGGGGTGCAGCTTTGAACTTGGAAGTGGGAACAGATAGAAGTGCGGCTCAGGCCCCTGAGGAACAAGACTCTTGACCGGCCTGGACCAGGGTGGGACAAAGCATTTCCCTTCTGCTCAGACGGTGACGTGGGTGAGCCTGGGGCCCCAGCCATGACCAGTGATCACAGACACTGCTTTAGGCTTCAATCACAGACAGATTAAAACTGCTACACCCACTGCACCCGCCTCTGGCTCCATGGGATAGTTGTTTGGGATTCAGTGACATGGGTGGCTCTGCCCATGAGGACAACTCTCCAGAAATTAAAGTCAGAAGAAGGGAGAGGAGCCCCCTCCAGACCTAGGCAGAGGCTGGCTGGATGCCTCAGAGCCTCCACTGCAGGGCCTGAGACCCCAGAGACAGGTGCTAATGGGGTGAGGGAAGCTTCCTGGGACGGTGGGAGGAAGTCAACTGGAGCCACTTCCCAGGCCCTCTTCCCAGATTTCCCTAGGATGAAACCCTGCCGTAGCTGGGGGAGAGGCTCCAAAGGCTGCCTTTTGCTGAGGCTGAACCAAGCTTTCATGGGGTTAGGCCGCTGGCAGAAGGACTACTCTCCCACCCTTCAATTACCCTCAAGACCAGGCAGAACAAACTTCAAGAGATGTTCCTTGAAGGAGGGAAGGGGAAGGCCAAGGACGAGGCCTGGGGACCCCCTTCAACACTGCCTTTGTGCTCTCCTCACTCAATAATTTTGCAGAGCCTGCAAACATTCCAGGGGAAAGAAATGACAAAAGTTTGCTGCAATGCACTTCCACAGTACTCTTTCCCGTTCTAAAGACATCTGGCTAATGAGGCACAAGCTGAGCATGACTGCCTTGCATACCAGAGGGAAGCAGAACATTAAGGAACCAGAAGGGAGCCGAGAGGGCGGGGCTCTGGGTCCCAGGGGAGGGAGAAAAGAGGCCCCCTGCTGGCCTCTTGCTGGAAGGAACCCGGGGGGATTTTGAAGCCGCTTGCTCTGGGGTGTGTGATTTAAAGACTCCTTTATCAAATGTTTGGGAACATCTGCATTGCTCACTGAAGCAGCTACAGGGGTGGCTTCTAAGAGGAGGGCAAGACAAGCATGGGAGCAGCACGCAGGGGCAGCGGAGCACAGCAGGAGGGGAGAGCTGAGAGTTCTAGGACTTAAAGTAGCTGGAGCTTAACTTCTGTGCTAAATCAAACATCCCTTCATCGCGGACTCTTTAGATGCCCTGCAGGCACTGAAGGGTTAAGAACTGTTATTGGGACTGCATGCCATCCTTAGCAGGACTGGCACGACCCCACCTTAGACTTGGATGCCTGGCCAAAAAGTGAGAGCAACTTGAGTTGGCAAAAGTGTTGGTTCAAAAATAAAATCCACAAGTCTAAGCTGGCTCGAGTCTTACTCTGCGCGGGTCACATGGCCACTGAGTGTTGGGCCTGCTGGTTAGAAAGTACAGAAAGCTTGGCCCAGGGTGGGAGGGTGCCCTGAGCCCCAGCCCCTTGCACAGAGGCTGCCACAGGATGCACTGGCCCAAGGCAGACAGTGCCAGGAAGAACATGCGGATGACATATTTGCTACCGGAAGTGTCCACACAGTCACAATGAGCCCTGCTCCTCACTGTGGAAGGCCCTAGCGGGTTCCAGTGAGTTCCAGGATGGCATGGCCCCTCATGCTATGAGCACCTGATGGGCCACAATGGTAGGTTGGTGGCTATGGCCTCAGACCTGCAACTGAGGGGGAAACCATGCTCTAAGACCCCCAGCTTGGCACAAACCCGTCCTCATGTCCAGGGCTTGTTCTTTTTTTCAGCAGCTATTTTGCTTTAAGCAATTTACAGAACTGATACCTCAACGTGGGTCTGGACAGGTGAGTCCAGGGGTCAGGCGTTTGTGTCCAGCACAGACCCCTGAGTGCCTGTTTCCCAGTGCCCAGCCTTTGGAATCACAGGGGAACAGGCCCTGAGATGAGTGGGTGGGCAAGGTGGCCAGCCGGGTGTCCTCACAGGGAAAGATGCCCTCATTCTCAACAGCCCAGCAAAGGCCAAAGCAGCCCTGCCCCTGCCCAGGGATGAAGTTGGGAGAGCCCAGAGCCTTCGCTCTTGTAGCCTGGGCCTGGAGGACAGGACTCGGGTCCAGGTGCCCGCCTCACTGACCCAGGATGCCGCCTCAAGCTAGTGTCAGCTGGAGCCCTTTGCAGGCCAGGCTTTCCAAATCCATGAACTTGAGAGGTTCCTTCCATAAGTGATGTGACCTGGGGGCTGCCCGGGAAGGGACGGGGCTAGAGGGCAAGGCCACAGAGCCTGAGTCCAGGCACTTACCTTGACCTTCGTAGAGCTTCTTCATCAGGGTCTTGCACTGTGGGTAGAAAGGAGCTGGTCAGGGCACTCACAGGAGACACAGCAAGGAAAGTTGCTGGGGCTCTGTGGGCACTGAGTCCCCAGGATTCAGCCAGGCCCAACATGGTGACTACCCCTTTGCCTGTCCACTGTATGCTGGGCAGAGGCCCCAGAGGACATTGGGAAAGGGTCAGGGGGTGGCCTGAGAGGGCCTCATCCCAGCCCTGGGCAGTCATCTCACCCGGAAGTTGCACACCAAGCCTGCTGCTCACTGTTGGAGTTGACATTGGAGCAGAAGGCTGCTGTCACCAGACAGCCTGTCCGAGGGGCCCAGAAGGAGCCCTGCCAGCCGCGGACAAACCATCAAGGCTGGCCCACCTTCAAGGGCAGGTAGCAGGACTCCCTGGCTTCTGCAGTGCTGGGCCCAGGCCCCCAGTGGCCCCTTAGCATCTCCCTCCTCTGCACCCACCCCAAGAGCCTGCACTCACTGAATTCTGTCCCTGTCATCTGGGCCAGGATGCGGAAGGAGCGAGACTGCAGGTTGGAGGAGCGGCGTGCCCACTCGTCAGCCTCATCTTCCGGCTTGTTCTGGTTCTTAATCACAGCCTGGTAGACGGGAGAGGCGCTGTCTACGGTAAGGTCCTTAATAGGGAGGCTCCTGCAATGCAGAGAGAGGCCGTGGGCGAGGGCTAGGCTGGAGCCCGGTTCCCACCCTGCTGGGTCCCTGCTCCATGCCCATTGGTGGCCCCTATTGTTCTGTCCCCACCTTGCCTTTACCCATTGCTGTCTGAGAACTTGAGATATGGGCATGACCTGGGTCCTCGGTGCTCAGGTTGGTCACAGTGAAGCAGTGACTCCCCTCCCTCATGAGAGACAGGAGGCTCAGATCCCTCAGGTCTGCCCTTCCCCAGTGCTAACTCCAAGCCTAGGCCTTGCCCCCACCCCTATCCCTAATGTGGCTGCTCAGTGTGGATCTGACCTTTTGGGTGATCAGGGCCCTGGAATGCCTTTCCAAAGTCAGAAGGACTCTGAGATTAGAGGCTCAGCTTGTGGGATGGAGGCACTATTTCAGCTACCTCCGATGGAAACTGGGGAGCCACAGTTTCCATCAGAGACATCAGCAGAGACATCCCCACCCCCAGATCCCCTTTACAGAGGGAGGAAACAGAACAGGTCTTCTTTGACCTCCCTGAGCAGGCCATGAGTTTGGGGCTGGCTGGGGAGAGGCCATTCGGGGACCCAGAGGCTTCCTCAGGGTCCATCTGCTGCCCTCCTCACACTTTTGGATCCAAACAAGGAGCTGCCAGTGCTGTCACTGCCCTGGAAAAAGACTGGGGCCCTGGGCTCAGTGCCAGTAGGCTGACTGTGCTGGGAGCTGGTAAGAAACAAGGCAGCGAGGCACGGCCCTGGCATGGCCTGCAGGGACAGGGGATTTCTGGCCTGGGGAAGTTGGAAGTGGGGCTGCACGGAAGCCACTGGTCCTCTGTCCCAGAGAAGCGCAGCTCTCTGTGGGGGACCACGTGACCTTCCCTTAGGCTCCCAGGGTCTGGCACATGATAGGTGCACAAAACTCTTGGCTGAAGAAACAAATCCTAGATCAGAGCCAGAAGGAACCCTAGAGCCCCTCGGGTCCAGTGCCTCCCAGCCTGAATCAGACTGCAGTGCAGGCCATGTTCAAAAGCCTTACAGCCCACTTGCCCTGGCCAGGGGGCCAGAGGACCAAGCCACCCAGCCCACCTTCTCAGAGGCGTGGGAGGGCTCAGGTGAAGCCCACAACAGTAACAGACTGCTGGCCCAGCCCTCTCCTCTTACAGATGCTAAAGCTGAGGTCCAGAAAGGCCAGCCAACTAGCCCCAGGTTACAGCAGATAGGGGTCCCATTGGGCAAGAACCTAGGTTTCCTGGCTGCTAGCCCTGTGTCCTTTGCATTAGGCTCCCTGTAGTCATAGGGCTCAGGAAGGCTACTTCTGCCCAGTAGGAGGCCCTGGACCTATGCCTGGAGAGATGCCCTGTCCAGCACTCTCCTGCCTGCCTCTCCCTTTCCCCCAGAGGGCTGGTTGGCTGGAAGAGGAACCTCCCCAATGTCCATGTCTTATACCCTCCCTGCAAGGAGTGCGACAGGGAACTGATCTAGTCTCCCAGGACTGGTCCCTGTGTTTGGCTCAGGGTGGGCTACAAGAGCAGAGGTGGGGAAAGGTGATCGAGCTTGGGTGGAGCTGCCCTGGCTTCCCTGAAGGCCCCGCCCTGGCCCAGAGAGCTATAGGTACTGGCAGCCTGTGGTTGGAATCAGCTGGGAAAGACCAGCAGAGGCTTCTGGGGTCCAGCCAGGGAGGAGCCTGCAGCTGCCCAGGGAGCAAAAGAGAGGGTGGAATCTTCCTGTTGCTGGGACAGGCCATTTCTAGTATAGGGAGGAGTCCCAAGGGTTCCTGAGGTCTGGGTGAGATGGGCAACAGGAAGGCACAACTGGGTCTCCCTGGTACTGGCTCCTCACCCACTGGGAGGGTAGGGAAGGAGGGAGTGTGAACTGTGCAGTGGGTGAGGGAAGGCGTGGATGCAAGGCCCTTGAGCCTCTCTACGGAGCTCTGCAATCCAGAAAGTGGATGGAAGGTATTTGCTGCTGTTTTCCTGGAATGTGCCCAGGATGAGCTACCCTGTGCCTTTCTTGGCTCCAAGGGTTCAAGAAAGCTGCCGGGAGTGAGTCCCTTGGGACTCAGCATTTCTGGCTTCGTTTCCCACCGCCCCATGCAAAGACCAGGGACTCTTGTTGCTGCTGTGACCAAGACTGGCAGTCAGATGAGCAGTCAGATGAGGAAACTGCTGTGCCTTTCATGACACCAAGGCTCAGGGAGAATACACGCAGAGAAGATGGAACAGGTCCTGCAGTCCTGGGCCCTTGGCCTGAGTTCACTCTCTGGACCCACTTTCAGCTTGTTCTTCTTGCCACAGAAAACACTCCACAGTCACCGCAGCATCAGGTCACCGCTGCATTTACTTCACTGTGTGCAGTCCCCAATCTGATTCATCTTTCCCCTCCCATGGGTGGTCATGGCAGGCACTGGCTCCTGCAGATACACTTCCCATGCAGATTCTGGGGAGTGGCCTCCAAGAGGTTACCTTGTCACCTTGTCACCTTCTAGCCCTGAATAATGGCTCAGTGTGGATTCTAACGTCCAGGTCTACACTGTCCCAGTGCAGATAGGAAAGGCGGGGGGAGCCACCCCAAAGCATGGCAAGGAGAACACAGGTATGTACCCCAGCCTGGGCCTGCAGCGTGAGTGTCATTACTCTGTGATTTCTGTGACCACAGTGACATTATTTGGATAAACCCCAAGAGACAACTACTTGCCTGGAAAGGCTGCAAGGGATGTCGTTTGGCTGACAGGTGGGTGTGAGGAGGAGCGTGGACAGAGCACGTGGGCTGACCACTGGTCCTCAGACACATCCCACCAAACCCACACACCATCCCACAATCAGACAGATGGATGACGGGACAGACACTGCGGAGTCTACTTACGCCAGCGGTGACGCCCTGCCAAGCAGAGGAAAACCCAGCCGTGAGTGCGCGTCCATCATGGGATAGCAGAGGGGCAGCGCACACAAGAGAGCCGGGTTAGGGTCAGAAATGAGTTATTGGAACGGGGTGGGTGAAGGAGGAAGAAAAAGAGAAAAAACACGGTCAGTGAGGAAGGAACCATGGAAATTAACAGCAGAAACGGGAGCACGTTATGGCCAAGAGGGTTACTCACTGGCACCACGGCATGGTCAGCTCAGCGTGGCTGCATTAAAAGGAAGAGGAGAAGAGGACCCTCTCCAGGCATACCAGGGGAAGAACAGGGAGGGGACGGGAGGGGACAGGAGGGAGATGGGAAAGGTCCTTCAAGAAGCCTTGATTAATCAACAGTGCATCAGTTCCAAAACTGATGGATGCCCTAGTGGTGAGATCAAATGATAGCAGTTTTCCCAACGTGCAGGAAACAGAAAGTTAGTGAAGAGCAGTTCTTCCATTATTTTCCATTGAACTTCCCTTTGGCGATTGCTACTACTTTTAAGAGCACACCAAAGACACACATGACAAAGAAACGTTAACAGGAAATCCCTGTTAGCTCTTGGGCTTAGACAACCTTGTTTTTCTGGGTATGCATGAGCTAATGCTTGTGTTTTTAAACTTGCATGGTCATATTTTCTGCTTTGAATGATGGAATTCAATCAACCTTGCCCAGAATTACGCCAAGAGCAGCAGCTCTGAGCCTTGGGAGTTTGACTTGAAGCTCTAGGACAGGTGACCTCTGCCCCCTGGTGGCCTAGGGGAAGTACTGCATCTCCAAGAGGGTCCCAGGCTCCTCAGTTCCAGCAGAGCCTAGGGAGCCTACACTGTTCCACCCTTGGGGCTGGGGAGCCTGCCCTGTATAACCTGCATGCATATCACGGCCACAAGGGCTGGGGTCTGGAATGGCCAAGTGAAACTGGGTTCCCTGGGACTTTTTAATCCCTCCATCCCTCTTATTACATCTGTTTTCCTGGCTTTGGAAAAAAACATCGCTGTCATTTCAAGACTTTTTGCCTTGAATTGCTGGGGGATCCTGCAATTCTTGTCCTGACCCAGGGATAAGATGTTGCCCAGATTGAGAATCAGCCAACACAGTGGTATTCCCAAATAGAAAACAGTGAGGAACTGTGTGTATGTGTGTAAGAAAGAAACAACAGATAGACAGACACACACACACACACGAGAGAGAGAGAGAGAGAGAGGGAAAGGGAGAGAGAGAGAAAAAGAGAGCAACAAGGAGGAAGACAGAAAGAGACATACAGATAGAGGGAGATACAGAGACACGCAGAGAAAGGGAGACACAGAGACACAGAGAGGGAGACATGGAGACACACAGAGAGAGGTCTGTCTGCATGAATGTTTGCATTGCTAGCATTTTTCATCCACAAATGATTTTCAGCCAACTCTTTCTTTACCAACCCTCGAATTCCCCAACCATAGCTAATGGGCGAACTCCAGGAACCAAGGATGTCTTAAATGCCACTGCCCTGAGGCCGGGCTTCCTGGGGCAAAGAGGAGGGGATTGCTCCCATTAGTGGGACTGATTGCCAGCAGTACTGTGGATAGCTGGTCGCAGACCCCTTCCAAAACCAGAAACCCAGCCAGTGTGTTTGAATCAATTCTCAGCGCTGGAAGAACCTGGCAACGTCCCCCTCCTTAAAGGACAGCTTCGCTGTGAGAGACCTGGGGGCCTCCAGGATGGTCCCCTTGTTAAGAGGACTGTAGAAGTCTCTTCTTAAGCCAGCCTCCTCAAGGAGCCTGGGAAAATGCAGAGGCTGTGAAAAGCACTTTGAGAAGCCACCATTTTCTGCATTTCTCCACCCTTCTCCTAAAGCTGACCATGGAGAGGGTCTGAAGAGAGGATACCTACGTTCCAGAAGACCCTGCTGAAGGCTGGCTCCCCTCCAAGGGCCATGCCCCCAGGAGGTCCAATGTGAAGGAAGAAAGCTGGTCCCGATGGCGCCCAATGGCCCAGACCCCTCGGGCTCTGGAGGCGCTGAGTGGTGGAGGAGGAGGGAGGCGCTTACCCACTGAAGTCACTGCCCTGGGCCTGGGCCTGCCCAGCGATGGCGTCCATGATGGCATCCTGGGAGTACATGCTGATGGGCGTGTTGTACTGTGCATGGATGATGGTGGCCTTGCCTCCCAGCCCCTTCACCTCGATGGGCTTGTGGGTGGACAGGGCCGAGTCCTTCAGGGCACTGGGGTTGAAGCGTTCCTGGTAGTCGGCGCTGGGGGAGGGGTGGGGGAGTACAGGCAGGGACGGGGAGGAGAAAAGGGCAACAGGTGGTGGTTACATGGGTGGCCAAGGCAAGGGCTGGGTGCAGTGGGTGTCGAGAGAGATCTCCCAGAGCCGAGGCCCTGAACCCCTGTAGGCTGCATAAGTCTCCCATTGGTGGGTGGTCTGGGTCTATTCAGGAAAATCCTTGGTACCCTCCCCCAAAGCCCAGTGCAGAAGGTTTTCTTTTTTCTTTTTTTTTTCTTTCTTTCTTTCTTTTTTTTTTTTGGATACAGGGTCTTGCTTTGTTGTTCAGGGTGGAGTGCAGTGGTGTGATCTCCACTCACTGCAGTCTCAACCTCTCAAGTGGGCTCAAGTGATCCTCTCACCTCAGCCTCCTGAGGTAGCTAGGATCGCAAGCATATGCCACTATTTTTGTTTTTTTTTTTGTAAAGACAGAGTCTCACAATGTTGCCCAGGTTGGTCTTGAACTCCTGGCCTCAAGTGGATCCTTCTGCCTTGGCCTCTCACAGTGTTGGGATTACAGGCATGAGCCACCACTCCTGGCCATAGAAGGGTTTCCTTGCCCATCTTGGCGTTCCCAGATCCCCTGCAGGGCCTGGCTGAGCCTGAGCTCACTCCCAGGGTCTGCAGGGGCTGCCAGGCACAGAGAGATCTCCCACCACACACAGCAGGGGAAGCGGGGCGTGGGGCTGGGGGTAGGGGATGGGAGCAGCAGCCCAAGCTGAGTCCAGAACGCCCCAAAGGCGAAAAGCGGCTCCAGTGGCACCCACAGGGATTCTGAGCAAGGTTTCTCCATGAAGGGGCTCTTCCTGCAGGCCACCCTCTTGGTGGCCCAGAGCTCTGCTCTTCCAGACGCTTCAGGGAATGTGCTTCTTCCTCAGAACAGGGCTCCGGCTGCCCAGGCCCCCTCAAGTCCAGTTTGCTGAGTGGCTGGCCATCCTCTACCCACAGGAGGCTCTTCCCTCCAATGGATAGGTGTGCTCCCCGGGCAGACAAGATCCAGTGCAGCCCTTCTGAGGGGTCGCCAGGACAGAAAGGTCTTCAGGCTCACACAGGCCCAGCAGCAGCACAGCCTGTGCCCCCTTCCCCCAACCACCGTCACCAACCCCAGGCGCATCTTAAGCAGCTGCTGCAGCAGGAAATTGGGAATGAAATTAGAACCATCGAATGGAGCCCCCACTCCCACCCCCAAATGCTTCTACTCCAGCTTCACACACATGCAGGCTCACCCAGGGGCACAAGTGCACCCCACTCATACATATGCACACACATGTACACATGCCAGCAGGCACACCCTATCCACGTCAGATACACACAGACACATGCTGGGGCTGGCACGCAAGCGCACACACATGCTGTCCTTTGATACTAACTTGGCTGGAGAGTTGGCTACCACCTGGGGAGGAAAAGGGCAAAGAAGACAGGGTGGTCAGAGGGAGGCTCCACCGGGGGGAGTTTGAGCGCCGGGGCCATCATCAGCCTGGTCATTGTGGAGGCAGAAGCAGCCCAAATCACACTGGGTGAGGAGAGCAAGGAGCAAGGAGGGAGAGCTGAGAGCTGGGAGTCGCAGTGACTGGGATGCTCGGTTTGGTTCAGAGACTGACACAGCAGTGTTTCCCTCTTGGGCGTTCCCCAGTGCCCTCTGCTTTGCCAAAAGAAGTGTTTTCTTATCCATCTTCAGGGACACTCGTACCACATACATGAATCCCCCACATACAAACCTGGCTATAGATCCCAGAGAGGAAGCTGCAGGTGGAGACAGGACCAGCTGTGGCTGCTATGGAAAAGGCTGAGGCCCAGGGGCCTCCCTGCCTGTCCGCATCTCTGAACTAAGAGTCTGTTTTGTGGGGGCAGCTCTGGAATTCTGTCCTGAGCAGGCATTGCGGTGGTGAGGGGGCAGGGTGTGCGTGGGGTTACCTATGCCCTCCAAACCCGGACCTCCTCTCCCTCCCAGAAGAGACACAGGCAGCTCTGGCTGCTCCTCTTGGGGTATAGGGGAGTGGGGTGCACAATCCCCAGGGGCCATTCCTAAAGGCCCTTTGGGCCAGCAATGAGGCAGGATGGAGGAGCGAGGAGGCTCAGGGAGAAGTGTGAGCTCAAGGCTTTTTTTTTTGAGATGGAGTCTCGCTCTTTCACCCAGGCTGGAGTGCAGTGGCTCGATCTCGGCTCACTGCAAGCTCTGCCTCCCAGGTTCACACCATTCTACTGCCTCAGCCTCCCAAGTAGCTGGGACTACAGGTGCCCACCACCATGCCCGGCTAATTTTTTTTTTTTTTTTGTATTTTTAGTAGAGACGGGATTTCACTGTGTTAGCCAGGATGGTCTCGATCTCCTGACCTCGTGATCCACCTGCCACGGCCTCCCAAAGTGTTGGGATGACAGGCGTGAGCCACCACGCCTGGCCGAGCTCAAGGCTTTCTGAAGGAAAGCGCCCAGCCGAGGCAGCCCAGCTCGGACAGCATAGTGAGAGGCCCTTCCTCTCACTCTGACCTGAGAGTGAGCCTCCCAGAGCATGGTCTCTGTAGGGAAAGCAGTGTCTGTCCCGTGTTTCTTTAAATGCAGATTCCCTGCAGTGGCAGACCCTGTGGCCAGTGTCCCTGTCTGAGGCCTGTGAGGGAGACAGTGTGGAAGGTGGGGGGCTCTGTCCCCAAACTCTGCCATCTTCTTGAATCTGCCCAGTTTCAAGCTGGGGGAGCCTGGGTCCCAGCCGGCCTAACCCTGGTCATTTGCAGCCAAACCCTGGGGAGCCAGGCTCAAGTCAGTAGTCCCTGTCCCAGGGAGTGCCACAGTGGCCCTGCTCTGCCCAAGGCCTGCCACTGCCTCAGAACTGATAAAATTCCCTCTGTCCTCCCAGGCTTAAAATAGCTGCAAGTGGAGCTATATTAGGAAAGGGCCAGCAAGGAGCCCCATTCCTTCTCCATTTTTGGCCAGTGCTGACAGCTGCAGGGTCATTTCTTGCCCTGACCAGCCCAGGGCCCCCTGCAGAGGGCAGTGTTTGCCTGGCAAGGTGGGGGCTGCCTTGGCAGCCTGCTCCTTCTTTGGCATTGATTTCTGCCTCCTGCTCAGTTTCTCCCACCCAGGACCTGGGGCTGGGATGGCTGCAGCAGACACATCTGAGAGGAGCCAGTGCCCGGGTCTTGGGGAAGATGAGCCAAAGATGCAAGATCTACCCAGGGGCCCTTGCACTGAGTGGCCTGAGGGACACTGCCCTTCAGTGCCAGCCCCAGAAGGGAGGAGAAGGGGGCTGCTGGGATGCCCATGCCTGTCTGCCCTTGCACCACATCTGTTTCTCTCTCCTCCTTCCAAGAGGATACGAGCTGCCAAGGAATTGCACTCCAAGCCGCCCAGAGGAGAGAGCAGCACAAGGGGCTTCCTTTTGGAGCCAGACAGGACAGAGTTCAAGTCGTGACCCTGCCTCTTCCTAGCACTGTGACTCCGGGCAAATTACCCACCTGTCCCAGCCTGTTTCCTAATTCTAATTCTTGAGATGGTAGTGCCTACCACACCGGTGGGTTGTGCAGACTGAGCAGGTCCTAAGTCTAAGGTGCTTAGCATGGGAGAAGTGTGCCATGGACAAGCACAGGGATTAGCCTTTGCTGACCCTGTTGCTGACCCACTTAGCATAGGCAGTGGCCTCAGCCCAGCAGAGGTTGCCCTAGGTCAGAGGCCAGCGCAGGTCAGAGGCTCCAGCCCTTCCTGCCGGCATTGCCCGGGACAGCAGCATCAGCTTTTACTTTGGATGAAGCACCCACTGCACACCCTCCCCTAGCCCACCATCCCTTGGAGGAAATGTCAGACTCTGCTGCTCTGAGCACCAAGTAATAATTTACACATTCATCAGGGTCTGGGCAGCCCCTGCACCAACAGCAGAGTACCTTAGGCACTATGGGAAGCAGAGGTGGGCCTGGCCCCTCACTTCCCTGAGCAGGTAGACAAGTCCCTGTCTCAATGCAAAGTGGAGTCAGGCAGACCTGGGTGCCAGTTCTGTCTGCCACTTACTAGCTGTGCGACCTTGAGCAAATTACTTGTTCTCTCTGAGCATCTATTTTCCAGCTATAAGATGACGAAAATCATGCCCACCTCTGGAATTAGAGAGAGAGTTGTGTTAGAGAGAGTTGCTGAGAGATAAGGCCTGTGGACTGTTAGCTGGTCCATAGCCAGAGTGCAGGGTCACTATGGGGAGACAATATCATCATTGCAGGTGGGTCTCCTGGGAGTCCCAGGCCACCAGAGGCTGACCTCCCTGCCTGAGGCCAGCCCCTGGAAAGGACCAGGAAGACCTACCAGCCCAACAAAGGCGGAACAAGGAGGCCATATCTGTTCTACTATTCCCTGAGTTTTCTGGCAAAAGTCCTTCGCTGGGGAACCTTGGGGGCATATATGACTCTGTCACCTTGGCTAAGGGAAGCAAGCCATGCGGTACCAGAGGTCAGCCTCACTGAGGATTCCAGAAACAGCTGGGGAGCTAGGGAAGCTGAGGGCCACAGGGAGAAGTGATCTGATGGGGCACAGGTACCTTCTGCTGCAAGGGCAAAGGCAAGGGCATGGGCTTGGGCCAGACTGACCAGATTCCTACTGTGACTCTTCTGGGTGGCTCCAGGCAGTGATGATACCAGGTGTCATGCAGTGAGTGGGTGACAGACAAAGCTCAGAGCTTTACAAGTGTTAGGTCCTTTATCCTCCCAATAACCCTGAGACATGGACAGTGTGATTCCTCCACGATTCGGAGGAGGAACTCTGAACCACTAGGCTCTACTGCCTTGGCTCAGCCTGCCCTGCCTGGAGAGGGCTACGCTAATTGCACAGGGCGGGAGTAGAAGTTAGGGTGAGAGAACAAGCGTGAAAGGCTTGGAGCTAACACAGGCCCAGTATGGGGACTCTGATCCCTTGGTCCCTTCCACAGTGTCCCAGTCCCATGTGCTTTTAACTGCTGTGCTCCCAGAGTCCCACCAGCTAGACCTTGGGGGTGAGGCTGCTGTTCTCCCGCACAGCCCCTTTCTCCCTGGGGTGCTGCTTCCTCGCCACCCCACCCTGGCCAAGGTCACTCCTGCAAACCCGCTCCCTGCATGCCACTGCCAAAGAGTCTCTCCATATACAACTCAGGGGCTCCCTCCTCCAGGCAGCTTCCCAGACCATTCCTAGTCCCAGAGAACTCGCTTTTCCACCTCTCAGCTCCCCGCTGCTCCTGCCTCCTTCCCCCCAGAGGGGTGGGGACCAGCGCATAGCTCTTGAAGGAAGCAGGCTATGCTGTGCTGTTCTCGGGGGTGGCTTAGTGAAAAAGTTTTGGAAGTCAGAGTCTCCTGCATTCAGGACTCGCTCGGCCACATGGTAGCTGGACAAACGGACTGTGACTTAACCTTCTCTGAGCCTCAGTTTCCTCCTCTGCAAAATCCGACATGTCACCCCAGCGTGGTTGGCCGTATAAATCGCTGGCATGCCCGGCTCATGGCAAACGCCACAGGATCATTGCTGGCCTCATGGACTCGGGGTTGGCTGGATTGGGGCCAGTGCCTCGCTCTGACCACCTGACCAGGTCTCTGCCGAGCACCGAGGACCCAGGTGGCCCAGGCCACCCGTGGAGAGCTGCACGCCCGTTACCTACCCTCCTGGGAGTCCGACACCCGAGGCCTTCCCTCGGAGGCTCATCTGGTACATCTGAGCCATCTCCCTCAGGGTCTCTGCCGAGTACAGGCCAATGGGGTTGTTATATTGCCTCGGCTGGCTCGAGCCCGGCAGGGCTTTCGGGCCGAGTAGGTCCCGGGCCCCGTCCGGGCTGGTCTTGGCCCTCAGTCTGACCCGCGGAGGGCCAGGGTCAGAGGCCTCGGCGAGTGAGGAGAAGGCAGAGGGCGGGGAGAAGGCAGGGCTAAAGGTAGGCCTGAGCTCCGGGGTGCCCAGGGTGCCTGGGCTGGCCCTCGCCTCAGGGCTGGGGCTGGGTGCCACCAGGCTGCCGTTCGTATCCAGAGCGGGGTCCTGGCACAGGGCAGGCCATGCAGGGGAGAGAGAAGAGAGCAGTTAGAGGCCACACGCGTCCCAGCGCTCCTGCGTGGACCTGAAACAGATACGTTAGTGCGAGCCCCACAGCCTGAAGCCCAGAGCACCTGGGTGCAGCACCTGGAGGGGAGGACACTGGCGGAGGAGCAGGCAGGCACATGGCTCCCGGCCTGGCCTGAGGCTGGCATCCAACTGGGCAGAGTGCCAAGCCCCGCACGGAAGCCAAATCAAGCTTCCTACCCTCAGGGCCCGAGGAAGTGGGTATAGGGGTCAGGGGATGGCCCATTCTGTGTCTGTTCCCCCTGCCCCTGAGAGTGGCTACCCAGTGAGCACAGCCCAGACTCCTGCTCCACTGACCCCACACTGCCAGTGAGATGGGGTCCCTGGGCTGGCTGTGGGCAGGTGGTGGGGAGGTGAGGAGGGAAGCTGAGGAAGTGGGTAGCTGACATTTGGGCCCCTCAGTCCACCTCTGTAAGCATCTCCCAAGCAGCCCTCCACCCACTTTCCCAGTCTGTGACCTACCACACCCCTGTCAGCCTCTTTTTCTCCCCTCTCCCTACTCCCCTGCCCAATCTGCCCCACTGGACAGGTGGGGTCACTATCAGCTCACATAGAGGGAGAAGTTGAACAGGGAGCCCTCGGGGGTTGAGCTGCTTAGTGGGGCCTTGGGAAGGGCCCAGGCAGTGGTGAGGTCTGGAGCCAGGGCTTGGCCTCCCTTCTCCCCTGTGCCTGCCTCGAAGGCCATCACCAGCACATGCTAAGGGCTACAGGGGCATGCACTTGGGAGGGGCAGGTAGGGAGGTGGAAACCAGAGGGAGAGATCTGGGTAGGGGAAAGCCTGTAGCCAGCACGCCCTGCCACACCTGGAGGTCCTCCTCAAGCTGGGCCTCAGCCGCAGTCACCCAGCCCCGGCCCCCTTGGCAAATGAGGATCAGAGCCTGGACGCTCGTCCCCTGCCTGGCCGGGAGGGTGACCCCTCTCCTGGGAGCACTGCTGCCCAAGCTAGCTTTTATCGGCCCAGCCGGGAGGCATAGCGGAGGTGACTTGCACCCAGGCAGGCATTCATTCCCACATCCAGTGTTCAAGAGGGGCTTGAAAGTCTCTCCCGCGGGGCTGCCTCACTTCCCCAGGCTCAGCTGCAGCAGTGACAGGGATGGGGCAGGGCTGATCCCACGGCCTCTTCCCAGTTGGGCCAGCCAAAGACCAGGCAGGCTGGCCAGGGCCAGCACTCCAGGAACCAGGGCTGAGTGGACCCCGCCGCCGCAGTCAGCACCTACCTTCTGGTGGGGGATCACTGGCAGAGGGGACTGGACTGGGGGTGCTGTCGTGGAGATGGGAATGGGACGCTTCGATCTGTAGAAACCAGAAATGAGACCAAGTGAGGAAGTTGCCCCTGGGGCCAGAAGCTCCTGCCTGGGCAGGGCTGGTGAGGAGAGAGAGAGAGGCAGCTGAGTCAGAGGGCTCCAGATCCACTGTCCACCCCACGGGCTGGATCTCCCCAAGAAGGCCCTGGGCCCGACAAGGATGGAGAAGTCATGGCCGCTGGGCACTTTGGCCAGCATCCATGGGCCCCTGCTATGTCACTGGGGGCTGCCGGGGCAAAGTGGAAGCAGGGAAGACCTGCCTTCCAGGACCAATGGCCCACATACGGGCAGCACCAGGACCACCCTCTCAGCCTTATCTGTAAAGTGAGGCAGTAATGTCTGCCTCTAGGTGCTTGACAGCAACTTGGGCCTGGTTGTTCCTCTGGCCCAAGGCTGTCCTTATCTTCCGGCACAGTTCTGTAGCCCAGGGCTAGGCCCACTCAATTGCTATGGGACTATCCCTCTTTTGGCCCCTGCCCCATGCCCACACCCAAGCCTCCGCCCCCTGCTCTGGAGAGCTCCCACCTACTTCTGCAGGGTGAGGCTCAAGTTGTAGCTGGCAGACTTGATCTTGTTCTGGGCTTCCAGGTGGGTCATGGTGTCTGTGTTGACGCCGTCAATGGCCACCACAAGGTCACCCTGGCTGAGCTGGGACTGGGCTGCCTTGCTGCCTGGTGTGATCTGATTGGATAGCAGAGGTGGGGGGTGAGCATAAGGAAGGTGGTCCTGAGGAAGGGCCAGTCCTTGGGGAAGAGTCACCCGGGAATATTCAGCAGAAGCCGTCATTTTGTTTTTCATTCGCTACGGCCAGTACCAGCTGCTCACCCAGCCTAGTTCCTCTTTCCGGCACATGACTACCACATTGCTTAGAGCTTTGTGTCTGACTGCGGCCTTGGGACTAGCTCTGGCCACTGGAATGAGGGTGGAAGCAATGTATGCCCCTTCCAGGTCTGCCCCTAGCAACCATCCTTGTGATCCTGCACCCTCTCTGCTTGTTGACTGACTGAATGCAGGGCATGGCGAGGAGGAGAGATGATTAGGGAACACTGTATTGGACATTGCATGAATGAGAAACTTTTGTTGTGCTGAGCCATTAAGGTTTGGAGGCTGCCTGACATGGTGGCTCATGCCTGTAATCCCAACATTTTGGGAGGCTGAGGTAGGAGAATTGCTTGAGGCCAGGAGTTTGAGGCCAGCCCAGGTAACAGAGCCCAGACCCTGTTTCTACAAAAATAAAAATATTTGGCAGCGTGTGGTGGTGCATGGCTGTAGTTCTAGCTACTCAGGAGGCAGGTGAGAGGGTCACTCCAGCCTAGGAGTTTGAGGTTACAACGAGCTATGGTCGCTCACCACTGAACTCCAGCATGGGTGACAGAGGGAGACCCTGTCTCTTAAAAATTTGCAGGTGGCCGCCAGGCATGGTGGCTCACGCCTGTAATCCCAGCACTTTGGGAGGTCAAAGTGGGTGGATCACAAGGTCAGGAGTTCGAGACCAGCGTGGCCAATATGGTGAAACCCCCGTCCTATTAAAAATACAAAAATTAGCCAGGTGCGGTGGTAGGCGCCTGTAGTCCCAGCTACTTGGGAGGCTGGGGCAGGAGAATCGCTTGAACCCAGGAGGCGGAGCTTGCAGTGAGCCGAGATCGCGCCATCGCACTCCAGCCTGGGCGACTAAGCAAGACTTCATCTCAAAAAAAAAAAAGAAAAAAGAAAAAAGAAAAATTTGCAGGCAGCCAGGTGTGATGGCTCATGCCTGTAATCCCAGCACTTTGGGAGGCAGAGGCAGGCAGATCACCTGAGATCAGGAGTTCAAGATCAGCCTGGCTAACATGGTGATACCCTGTCTGTACCAAAAATACAAAAGAATTAGCTGGACATGCTGGCGTGTGCCCGTAGTCCCAGCTACTCAGGAGGCTGAGGCAGGAGAATCACTTGAACCCTTGATTGAACCCAGGAGGTAGAGGTTGCAGTGAGCTAAGATCATGTCACTGTACTCCAGCCTGGGTGACAGAATGAGACTCTGTCTTAAAAAAAAAAAAAAAAAAAATGCAGGCTATTTGTAACCTTGGTTAGCCTCTTATAACCCCTGTACCCTGCAAAGCTATGGAGCACTTTTCAGAATCCAGGAGAAAAGAGAGATGCAGGAGCTAAGATACAGCAGCATCCCAGAGACACTGCCAGGCTGAAAGGCAGGATAAATGCACCCACTCAGAAGCATCTTAGTGCACGGTGCTTTGTGCTACCTGGCAGATGTGGAGATGGTGAGGTAGCCGACAACCCTGCCTGGGTGAGCAAAATTGGCTGGGAAATGGGGCAGCGCTTAGGGTTCTGTAGTTGGCGTCATACCTCCAGAAGGCGGGGTGCAGGTTTGGGAGCCAGTTCCCAAACCCTGAGCCCCAATAACATCACAGAATGTTACATTCTGGAGGCCCCATCTTCAGTGTAACCACACAGAATGCCACTGCAACTCCACCCTGGGAATTCCCCATGGGATCTCAGGAAGGCCACACCTTTTGGGACATTACTTGGGATGTCATGATGGCTCAGGCTGCACTCGTGGTGACATCATGCACGATGCCAAATTCTGCACGCCCGGCCTCCAGTAATAGCACACTGAATGCTGTGGCAGCCCTGCCCACAGTGATGTCACATGAGATGCAAAATTCCAGAGGGTCTAATGATGTCACCTAAAATGGCTTGATGGCTGGCCCCTAGTGACCTTAGCAGCCCCACCCCTAAAGATACCTCATGGAATGCCAGAGACTCTGGCTGTCCCCCTGTGACATCATATGGAATGTGCTGGCCCCTGCTAATATCACATAGAATGACTTTATGACCTGACTCCCATCACACCATCTTGGAAGTCTCCAACCCCCATGACATCACGAGGAGTGCCATGCAGGCCTGGCCTTCAGTGACATCACAGGAAAGAGGAGGCTCTGGACCCCACCCCCCACAAGCTGTGGCTGGAGGTGTTCCTTGGCTTTGCCTCCCAAACATGCCCACCAGCCAGTCCTCTTGGCCTCTCTGGGCATATCCCAGTCACCTTCCTGGCTATAACCCAAGGACCAAGCCAGCTCCTAGTGTTGGCAGAAGCTAGATTCAGGCCAAGGCCTGAGAACCATCCTAGAAGGAGCCCAGAGAGGCTCTGGGGACAGTCCCTTGCTCCAGGTGCCAAGCCTGGGTGGGCCTCTCGCCAGGCCCTAGGCTTACAGACATGGATGGAAGCTCCTGCCAGTCCCCTCACAGGGAAGCCCCTTCCAAACCAGGATGCTCTGCAGTCACCAGTCACCAGTGTCCAGCCCATTCCCAGATGGGCTCTGCAGATGCAGCCCAGGAACTGAGTTGTTTCTGCATGACCACATTACGGGTCACAGAAACACTGCCCTACACCACATGGGTGATAACAGCAAGACCAGGACAGCCCTCTCCAATGGCTGTGAACCTGCCATTTCAGCCCTAGGGGCTATGGTGCCTTTTTTTTTTTTTCTTTTTCTTTTCTTTTCTTTTCTTTTCTTTTCTTTTTTTTTTTTTGAGACAGGGTCTCTCTCTGTTGCCCAGGCTGGAGTGCAATGGCGTGATCTTGGCTCACTGCAACTTCCGCCTCCCGGGTTCAAGCAATTCTCCTGCCTCAGTGTCCCGAGTAGCTGGGACAACAAGCACACGCCACCACACCCGGCTAATTTTTGTATTTTTAGTAGAAAGGGGGTTTTATCATGTTTGCCAGGCTGGTCTTCAACTCCTGACCTCAAGTGATTCACCCACCTCAGCCTCCCAAAGTGCTGGGATTACAGACATGAGCCACCATACCCAGCCTGTGGTGCCCTCTTAAAATACTGGCCACCTTGTGTCCACAGTGCCCCTTCCCCAGCCCTGGAATCTATAGAGACAGGAAAGGACAATACAGAAACAGACGCCTGGACTGCCAGGAAGCCACAGCATCTGCTTTGCAAAGTCCAGCCTGCCCTCCAGGCTCCACAGGGGCATCTTAGAGCTACTTGAGATTTCTTAAAATACACTTAGCCCTTACCCCCAAACTCATTGCCATAGCTTCTATTAATGATAGGAGTGTGTTGCTGCCTTGAGTGTAGAGGTGAACAAAGGGTAAAAACCAACATCAGCATGGGAAAGCAAAACAGTTTTCTAGACTGAGAGGGGACTCCTGGGGGCAAGTTGAGCTGCCCAGCCAGGCCTGTCCTGCAGAAAATCGACTTTCCCTACTCCTCTATGTGATCCCCAACATTTTATTATAGACATTTTTACAGATTTCTAGGCAGAAAAAGTAGAAAACATTCTAAAGTGCACACCTGAACACCCGCCACCATGGCTGTACCATAACATCTCACTCTCTTTGCTTTATCACGCTCCATCCCTCCACATCCACCAGTCCATCTCATTTGCCAGGCATTTCAAAGAAAGCTGCAGGCACCAGCATACTTCTGTCCAGGGCGAATTTTGCAATGCCTGTTCTGTCCTAGTGAACCGCCCATGGGACTCCCCCACAGCAGGACACTCCCACAGTAAGGCTCTCTCATGGCAGGGCACCCCCAAATGCTCACCTACAGAGAAGGGGTTGTACCCCTGCAGGGCTGGGTCACTGCAGACCCCACGCAGGAGGGCCACGACCTTGGTCACAGAGGAGACACTGACAGGAAAGATGGGAGTTGTGTCCAGAAGATCATGATGACGGCATGAGCAAGGGCACCAGAATGACATCCAAGAGAGGCGGGGGCCAGATCAGCAGGGCCCTCTGCAGGGCCATCTGACCGTCCTCCCTCTGGAGGTGCCTCAGAGACATCTTTCTCCCACAGGCGCGGGCCAGCTGGCACCAGCCTTCCCCGCCAGGTCTCCTCGCTTCCCCTCACCTGGACCTGCCTGGCTCTCCCTCATCGTCAGGTATGGGCTCGGGGGATGCTTGCTAGCAAGGGAGAGCTCAGCCTCCTGGGGTCTGGTCAGTAGCCAAGCCTCTGACCAGAGGGGAGTGGCTGAGCTGGATCCCCTGCCTGGCGCCTCTCCCGTGCAGCTGTGTCTGCTTGTCAGGGCTCAGCTGGCCTGGCCTTTGGCTGCCCCGAGCAGGGTCCAACATCCCTCAGGGTGGGGGCTGGGGGTGCTGATATCCTCCTCTAGGGGGGTGCTCCAGGCAGGATGGAGGCAGGCACTTTATGGATGACCAAGAGCCATCAGATGCCTTCACCCCACCACAGGAGCAGCCTGCCTGGGTGGGTTGGAGGGGGGCACCCTCAGACCCTTGCCCAGAGCCCAGGGCTCATGGAGAGTGCACTCCATTCACGATGCTTCCGCATCACTCTTGTCTGACTCCATCCTCCTCTTTCCTTTGTGTGTTTCAGAAAGGGCCCAAAGCACCCAAATCCTTGGAGCTGCGGTTTTTTTCTTTTGGATCTTTCTATCCGCCTTTGAGCATTTAAACGCCTCCCTTGAATGAGCGTTTCATTCCCACTTCACATTTCAGTCTTCTCCAGCCAATGGGCGCCTCTAAACCCTGGAAACCCAACCCTGGGCACAGCCTAGAATGGCCTCAGGGTGGAGCACCAAGCTCCTGTCTCCAAAGCCCCCAAGAAAGGCTGCAGGTGTTTGGAGGCCAAGATCAGCCCCCTGTCCCTAGGAGCCCTTCCGCCTTGCTGGGCCAAGGTCTTAGGGCACCCCCAAGGGCAGCCCAGGGA